AGCGGCCGAGGGGCGAGGAGGAGACTGGCCCTGACGAGAAAGAAGACGACGACGAATCTCCTGTACTAGGTAAGATCACATACAATCATCTATATATCCGCAGAGCTTCGTTTTCCCTATTTTCTACTTCATTTGATCGTATGCTGGATTCTCTACCATAATGCACTTGTTGGATGTATTTTCTAATGGCGACGAAGAATGCCGCTCATGTTGAATGACGGCATTCTTCGTTGTGTTAGGACATCGTATTTAACATTGATACGTTGCTTAATAGGTGAAAATATTTTTTTAATGTATTAGTTCTCGGGAAATACCTGATTTCTTTACTGCGCTGATTCGTTTGCAAGACAGTTGGAAAGTTCTCTGCCCGGTGAAAATTTTCAAGTGTTTTTCCACTCTTTTGAATGTACTTCCGAGGCTGTGCTCCTTGTGATGAGCCTTGAATTTGTAATTGATCATGGGGAAACACCCCCGTATTATGGTTTAAGTGATGGAGTACATGGTCGCTGGATTTTGTCGAACAGACGACTTCTTTTGGAAATTTTCTAATCTGATGGACAGATTCTATGCTGTTACGGCTTCGATTCTTCTTTAGTTGGCTGCGTGGGTGCTACCTATCTGTAAACAGGCCCAAAGGGCGCTGGCTTCGGTCCTGTCACCGCTTGGGACTCCTGAGCTTGAGTTGATGCGGTTCACATCCAAGTTCAAAGGCAGATCCATCGTTCCACGTAACTTAGTCCAGGATTTTGGTGACAATATACGCTCACTCACAATTATGATTTTGGATCAGTGATAACTGCTTTAACGAAATGGGAAATTTACATACACACCACATAATTCTTATGTATTTACATATCTAAAGCTCAAAGTATGATATTTACATTTATAAAACCTTGGGGCCATAAACCCATCAATGAAAAGGTGCATTTCACCTTTAAAAAGGTAGCGATGGTGGAATTTTTTATGCAGTGCTAAGGATTTGAGTGGTATGCCTGTAAATGCGAATGTTTAGGTTTTAGATATGTAAATATATAAGTATTGGGTGGTGTAAATGCCCATAACTAAATAAGCACTGAGGCTAATCTTTTTGATGAGTTAACAATGCTCCCACTCCTTCACCTTTTGGCCCCTCAAGTCTTTCACCCTTGAAGAATACTAGAAACACATCATTCTTGTTTTATAGGATATGATTTTGTGTGCTTATTCTTGTATCCGATTTTGTGCTTTCAATCCAGTCTCCTCCAATCTATGAGCTTGACTTGAGAATACATGAACTGCTAAGGAGTCTCAATTTATTTTGAATGTGGTAACTGTTTTTGAATACGAATTTTCTACAAATATTATTATTCTGGTTTGATATGCTGCTCGTTTATTATTATCGTAGTGAATATCAAATGTTTACCATAGATTTAAATTCATTTCCCTTAAAATACATTCAGTTTCAATACTGTTTATTTTGAAAGATTTACATACCTACGACTCAATTCCTATGTATTTTCATATCTAATACCTAAACTTTCATTTTCACATACATACCACCTTGCCTTTGCATGAAAATGTGTATTTCACTTTTTTTAAATTCAAATGGTGGTATATTTTATGTGATATGAAAGATTTGGGCGGCATAAATCTAAAAAGTAAAATATAGGTGTAAATACAAAAGAATTGTGTGGTATGTGTTTTCTTTTTCATCAATGAGTGACTTCCAATCCTCAAATATCTGTTCTATTTGGCTAAGGAAATTTCACTATTCATTTTTTTGACTATCAAAATCATCATTGAGTGTCTCTTCAATAGTCATATCTCTAATTTTTGGGGATTACCTTTGATCATTTTTTGTTATTTTTATTCTGTCAAGGGATGCACTTGTTCTTCATTATAGTTTATCTCAGACTTGAACAAAACTCAATTTCCTAGTTTTAGCTCTATTGCTTCTACTGTTAAGCCCTTTCACGACTTTCTGCAACTTCCGAAGAAAAATAACCTTTATTATTTTTATGCTGGTGGTTTTTTATTTTTTGATGTATTTATTCAATGCAACTTTATATTTTTGGAAGAGGGTTCATTGAGTCTTGAAGATATAAATTGTTTTTAAATTTGTTTGTGGTTGAGGGTGAGTTGCTATTGTGCTCTTTCCCCCACTAGAACTGATGCTACAATTTTCAAAAGAATGATACAGGTCTTAATTCAGTCCTTCTTTTAAAATGCTTTTTTGTTTAACTTTTTTTGTTTTCTTCCTAATTTTCATGTCAATGCAGAAAGAAGCTTAGTATTTAATGACACATTAATAGCGCTCAGAATGATGCATGCTCAATTTCCAAAATTTGAGAAGGTATATTTATTTGTTGTTCTGGTATGTTTATGAAACTTGTATAATCTTTCTCCTAGAAGGATGGCGAAACCTTCCCAATGTTATCCTTATGTCTGCAGTCCTGTACAATCCCCAAACTCAAGATCACGGCGATGGCTTTCACTGCAAGTTTTATCAAAATCCATAGTAATATAATCATTATTTTCAAGAATGTAAACGTATATGATTTTTAATGTTATGCAAAAGTTCATTTTAGAAGTCTATTTCTGCTCTTCTTTTTATTAATCAAAACTATTAAACTTATTGTAAATATCACCAACCCATATCCTTAATTCCATGTCATCGGAAAACCTGAACATGTTAGACCACAACTTTCTTCTATGCAATCAAAACCAGTTTGAAAAAAAATTGATGCATTGATTGATAAGCATATGATGTTAAAAATTCTTGAAATTATTATGATTTGCATAAGAATGTAATATTTTGCTGTTGTATTTGACTTTGTAATGTTTTTACTTATAAATCCTTTAATTTGCAGGTTGCACGTCCTTTTATTTTACAATCACAGTTATATAGTAGCGTAAAGGATAGGACACAAGTAGATAGAGACTTGGAGGTCAGTTCTTTCCTGAATTCTTTGCATCAAGAAGCTAACTTCAAATGCATTTTTTTAAAATTTTATGTCAAACAAACAGATTTATCTCTGACTAGCAGAATTAGCTTTCGACAATTCCGTTCAACTTTATAAACTAGGAGAATAAATTTTAGATTATGTCTCAATCTCAGAAGTGTAGCAACTAAAAAATTATCGGGGTAGAATTTTGAAATTTGAGGTATAGATTCTGATGGGACCAATTTGCCCAATACGTTGTTAACTTGGCTTGACTAATTGACTAATGTCCAATAACATTGGGTGTAGTTTTAAATTGCGCCTACGAGCATTGACTAACAATTTTGTGTACTATCTCTAACCATAGTTACTTTTAATTATAAGCATGCTTTACTTTCCGTGTACAATCTTTATATGAAATACATCATGCTATAAAACATTGCATAACATGTATTGTTCAAATTATTACATATATGTACATTTTCTAAAGAATCTACATGAGGAACTTATACATTAATTTTGGAATTAATATGACTGTCACCTAGGTTGAACATGATAATAGAAGTCTCAAAAATACAGCTTTCTGTATACATTGTAATCAACCTGATTTAAGCATTACAAATGTAGCAAGGATAAAAAAATCTCTTTTCATGTTAATTTTTATTGTTAATAAAAGACATCTCTCTTACCGTGCACATTATTCATTATGGGAATTCTTTTTGTTCTAGTTTGGTGGATTGATGTTTGCAAAGTCTTGCTTTGAATATTTTTTACTTAAAGCAAAGAATTGGTCTGATTGTTTTTTCTAGGTTCCACATGATTAAAGTGGTTAGATTGAACTTAGCATGATATACTATCCTTTTTTCCTGGGAAGAAATGTCTTTCTATTTGCCTGTTTGTGCTTGGACATACATACGACACAGTTCTTATGTATTTACATATCTAACACCTAAAGTTTGATATTTACACTTCCAGCACTTTGGTGTCATAAACATTAGCATGAAAATGTGTATTTCACTTTTAAAAAGGAAGTGATGGTGGTATTTTTGATGAGATGTTAAATATTTGTGTGGTTTGCATAAAAATATGAATATTTAGTTGTTAGATATGTAAATACATAAGAACTGTGTCGTATGTATGTCCAAGCACAAACAGGCAAATAGAAAGACATTTCTTCCCAGGAAAAAAGGATAGTATATCATGCTAAGTTCAATCTAACCACTTTAATCATGTGGAACCTAGAAAAAACAATCAGACCAATTCTTTGCTTTAAGTAAAAAATATTCAAAGCAAGACTTTGCAAACATCAATCCACCAAACTAGAACAAAAAGAATTCCCATAATGAATAATGTGCACGGTAAGAGAGATGTCTTTTATTAACAATAAAAATTAACATGAAAAGAGATTTTTTTATCCTTGCTACATTTGTAATGCTTAAATCAGGTTGATTACAATGTATACAGAAAGCTGTATTTTTGAGACTTCTATTATCATGTTCAACCTAGGTGACAGTCATATTAATTCCAAAATTAATGTATAAGTTCCTCATGTAGATTCTTTAGAAAATGTACATATATGTAATAATTTGAACAATACATGTTATGCAATGTTTTATAGCATGATGTATTTCATATAAAGATTGTACACGGACACTGAATTGCTTACTTTCTCAGTGTTCTTTAATAATACTTCGTTTTTCCTTATTTAAGAGCTTTTTTTTGTTAATTTCTTCATGTTGCTCTTAATTAGTTCTATAGTTTTGTGCTTCTGTGTGCCATACAAATTATGGCTGGTGACTTACTGGAAACTTTAGATTTGCATTATAAAGAAGCAAATGATTCCCATTAAAATGGTTTTGTTGTTTTTTAGGTGTTGGAAGGAATCCGCTAGTTGAGAATTCTAGGCCCTACACCTATATTACTTCAAGTTTTATGTGCTATTATTTTTTCTCAATGAAGAAAGTTAAGCTCTATGGCCTATATGTGTTTTTAAATCCATTTAATTCGTTTGTTTATTCAAATGAAAAAAGTTCCCTTCATCATGCCCATTAGGGGTGTTGCGGCACAAGGGAACCTAAGATGTGGATGTATTGGCCTGTATTGGGCTATGGTGTGACACTGAGGGTGGTTTTAGATGAGATCACCGAGGTATTATGGATAAGTTAAGGTTGACACTAGGTGAATTAAGAGATTAAGATGCAAGTTAAGATTTCTTTTTGTTTGGGAAGATTTACATACTTACCCCTCCATTCTTGTGTATTTACATCTGTAGCACTAAATTTCAATTTTTACATATATGTCACCTTACTTATGCCTAAAAAGTTATATTTCACTTTTTAAAAGTTAACATAGTGATATTTTTGATGTGACATTAAAGATTTGGATGGTATAAATTTAAAAATCTAAGTTTAGGTGCTAGATGTACAACAACATCTGCAAGCCTTTATCCCAGTAAGTGAGGTCGGCTACATAAAATTTTTTTCTCGATGGTATCCTATTGAGTGCCATATTTTCATTTAATTCTAATAAATTAAGATCATTTTTTTATATAATGTGCCCAAGTATTTCTAAGTCTATTTCTGTCTTTCGTAACATAAGTCAAATTTGAAGCATCTACTCTCTTAACCGGATTATCAGATGATCGACGTTTAATATGACCAAACTATCTAAGACGACTCTCTCTAATATTGTTCGCCACTGGAGCTACACCAACCCTATCACAGTTCTATTCTTTTGCATTTTGTCTCTAAGTGTCTAGCTACTCATCCACCTAAGCATTCTCATCTCAGCAACACTTAACTTTATTTTATGCTTCTCTTTTAAAGACCAACATTCTGTTCCTTATAGGTATCACCACCATCTTATAAAATTTTCTTTTCAGTCTAGGCAATACTTTTCTCACACAATAGGCCTGATGCATCTCTTCACTTCAACCAACCAACCTGAATTCTACTAATAACGTCTGCATCTATATCACCATCACTTTGAACAATTGATCTGAGATTTATAAAACATTCACACGTTTTAAAGTTTTGATCACCCATAGTTACGACTCTACCAGTAGAGCTACTACTCCTAAAATTACATTCCATGCATTCAATTTTAGTTCTACTTAAATGAAGGCCTTTAGACTCCAATGTAAACCTCCATAATTCAAGTTTTTCTTCACTATTTTTCTAGTTTTATCCACAAGAAGGATATCATCAGCAAAAAGCATGCACCAAGGTGCATCCTCCTATAAATGTTCACTAAGAGCATCCACAACTAAAGCAAAAAGATGCGGGCTTAAAGTCGTTCCCTGATGTAATCCAACTGAAATAGGAAAATACTTGGTCAATTCTCCTTTTGCTCGAACACAAGTAACAACTCTAGTATACATATCTTTATAGACTTGAATATGAGTCATATTAGCACCTTTCTTATCCAGAACTCTTCAAAGGACTTCTTTTGGAACCTTATCATAAGCTTTTTCTAAATTGATAAAAATCATATGTAAGTCTTCATTATTCTCTCTATATTTCTCCATCAAACCTCTCGATGAATGTATAGCTTCCATAATAGACTTGCCCGACATAAAACCAAACTGATATGAAAATTTTTTTTGGCACATCTTAACCTATGTTCGATTAACCTCTCCCATAATTTTAAAGTATGACACATCAACTTAATTACTCTATAATTTCCACACTGTTGTGGATCTCTTTTATTCTTAAAAAGGGACCAAAATACTCTTCCTTCACTCTCAGGCATCTTTTATTTTTTAAAATAATATTAAGGAGTTTAGCATGCCAAGAAGCTCCCAATTCTCCTAAATATTTTCACATTTCAATTGGGATATCACCAGATTATACTGATTTTTCATTCTTTGTTTTCTTTAAATCCTCCTCAACTTTTTTTTACTAATGTGATGATAAGAATAAAACATTTTATTATTATTAACGATATTAAGATCACTAAGGTTGATCTATTTTCAGAAACTTTATTGAAAATTTTATCAAAATAGCTTACCCACATATATTGAATATCTTCCTCTAAGAAAAATATTTTTTGATTTTCATCTTTAATACACGTTACTTGAGTTAATTCTTTACTTTTCTTGTCTATTTGTTTGACTAGTTTATACATATATATTTTTCACCCTCTTTAGTATCTAATATATTATAAAAATTACTAAAAGTAGAATTTTTAGCGTCACCAATTGTTCTCTTAATCTCTCTACGGGCCACCTTATATTTTCTCCATTTCCTTATGCTTTTAAATTTAAACAAATTTTTATTAAACAACTTTTAATATTTTATCTTTCCTTGCATATTATTTTTCCACCACCAACTATTTATATTTATAGAAACTTTTCATTTAGATTCTCCAAGTATAACTTTTGCCACTTGTTTAATAGTGTTTGTTACTTTATCCCATATATAATTTGCTTCTTAGGGTGTTAGAATATAAATACTAAAAGTTTAAACGTCCCGTCGCCGCTTTTTTGTCTTTTGAGCTGCGTTGATTTATTTGAAAAATTCTTCTGGTTAATTTTTTTTCTCTTCAAAATTGCTAACGAAAGCGAATTTGCATGGAGCCTATTAATGTTTAATTGTATGAATATTAGCTATGGAAGGATGCTCCATTTAGATTTTTTATGCTTCATAGTTACTTCTTTTATTTTCTAGTTCATTGACTAGCATAAAGGGTTATGTTGATTCATGAAATTTAAAACGTTTAACTTGCTTTGCAAAGCTGGTTCTACGAGGTAAAAAGTTATGAAGCAGTGTCTTTCATTTTAAATTTATTATCATTTTGTTTTAACTTTGAAATTATTTGGTTTTTAATGCTACTTTCCTGTTTGGTGCAACTGAATAAAAATGTCTTATGTAAGACATTGTTCATGAAGATTGGAGGTTTATGATTAGCATTTATTGTGATGTTTTTATATAGATGGATTTTGCAGTGAAGAAGTTAGGTGCCAGAAATCAACATGATATGGAAGTTTTTGAGTGGTTCAAAGTACATGTAATTGAATCCAAGCTGGATGTGAGCATAGATCATCAGGAGTTGGTTAGTTATCTCTTTTCTGTTTATGATTAACTTTGCTAATTCAGCGTGTTGGGTCCTTTAATCATGTGTTATTAGTATTGAACTCTATCCCAAATTTCTTATTAATTGAAAATGGGCCACAAGATTAACTACAGAGTTAGCTAATGTTATTTGAAGAGGATCACAAGCTAGACCCAAATCATTGATATTTGATCATATATTATATTTCAAAATTCTCTAATTGATCCATCGTAATTTAAAGTATCTAAATGCTAAAATTCATTTTGTGTTTGATTTTGTTCCTTGTTAAAACATATTTTTATGTTGGGGTTTTTACATATGGAGATATCTGAACTGTGCAATTTACATCTTAAGATCCCAAAACTTTTAATTTACGCCTGAAGGACTAGCGTCCTCCAACATCATCTTCTGTAAGCTTTTTGCCGACCTGATGGAGGGCAAATAGTGCATGTTTCATACCATCAAAATATATCAGACTATAAAATTGATGGTGCTACCATTTTACACAACCTACTTCATGCCCTATAGTATGAGTTATAACTGCTGCTATGATTATTCTGCATGAATGCGTTAACCAAGGTGTTATCAACTGATATTTGTTGACAGGAAACTTATGAGTCTTCTAAGTGCAAGACAGAACATTTTTCTTGAGATCATATTACTTAACGAAAAAAATTGTAAAAATCTCTCTTTCAAGTTTTAAAGTTTTTTCTATATATTCTGTTAGGGCTGACTGCCTATTGAGTCTGTGGTTAATCGTACTAGATTTTCCATTTGTAGGTGTTTAATCTAAAACATACCACACTGCAACATCAGAAAGTATAGGATTTCAGTTTTTTTTGTATGGGATCCACCAATTCAGTTTGATCACAGTGGTTTTCATCCATTTCGTTTGCTAAAATGATTATTACTGTTGTGTTTGACACTTTTCTATTCTTTTTTGCATTATAGTTCATATTGTTGTCAGCTGGAGGCGATGTGACAGATGAGGATATAACACTTCTAATCAATGCTGGTCTTCTTGTAAGTAATGCTTAAAGTCCAACTCATTATAGCCGGGATTTTTATTCATGTTTTAGAAAAAATGGTCATTTACATACATACCACTCAATTCCTATGTACTTACATATCTAACACCTAAACTTCACTTTTTACATTTATACCACCCAAATTTTTTCTGTCATATCAAAGTGTACCCCCATTTCAATTTCTAAAGAGTGAAATACATCTTTTCATGCATAGGTGTTAGATATGTAAATACATAGGACTTGAGGTATGTATGTAAATCTTTCTAAAAATAATGGTAAGCTAAATTTGTATTTCGTGGTATCGGGTCTGCTTGATGGTACTATAGATGAATTCTGGCATGACTTAATTTGACCATTTTCAGCACAATTAGATCAATTAATTTTCTAGTTCTTTATCGGTGCAAGGAAATGTTGAGGAGATATATATGTGGGTAATTTATTATACAATGTGATATTGCATATTTAGATTTGATTATCTAAACCCTCAATAACTGATTTTCTTATCTTAGTGAGAAGCTATTACAATGATAAGGAGCTATGGTATACATTTTAATTATCAAATAACCAATTTTGTATACTAATGATAAGTGATCGGCCAAGAAGAAATTATGTCAATGTTCCAATTTGTGTGCATTATTATGGTTGTTACTTTGTTATGTTCACTTTGCCATGGTGAGTGTGGATTTTTTAGGAAGATCTTATTTTTAGTATCTACTATTATTAGTATTTTCTATTTTTAGGATTCAGACAAAATTGAGAAGAAATAATTATTTTTGTTCTTCGAAAAACCTATATGGTATCAAAGCCTGATTATCCCTTTGAAGTTGCATCGAATACAACTGATCATTTGCAGGTTTCGCTCGCGAGAGCCTTTGCATCGCACCGCTTTGTCGGTCAACTTTTTGGAAATTTGAAAATATGAAAATAATTTTTGAAATTTAATTTAATATAAAAGGTATATTATTTTGAGTTTTGAAAGTAAAATGTTTTAATTTAAAACAAAAAGAGACCAAATGGATCTCATTCGTCAAATAATTTACATAATCGCGTTCGATATCACGAATTCTACACCTTCCCGAAAGATAAGTTTATATCTCGGCGATAGACCCAATCCTGCAAACTAAGAGATTTGTGACATCCATTTGGTCTGCGAACCTTTTATGCATGACCGATAAGTTCCCCTATCTAATAAAAAGATTAGATAGGGTTTATTTTACCTGGGTTCCAATTTCTCTATAGAGGCAAACCCTTATAGTTAATTACATCCCAAATGACGGGGTCATTTGAGAAAACTCTCGATAATGATCAGAGGCACTAGTCTTCAAGATTTCAATGTTTAAGTTTTTACAGTAGGACGGGGAAAAAACAAGTGGGAGTGGCTCAATTAGTTGTTTAATCCTGTCAATTTTATTATTTGAGACTTATATTTGCATATTATCTGATTATGCAAATAGCCCGCAGAGAAAGGAGGGTTTACGTCGTACCACACGACAACCTCGGAACCTAAGGCAAGTTAGGAATTATGCTGCACAACATGGTTGTACAGAAGCCTAAGAGGGTGTGAGGATTTACGTCGCGCTGGGCGAGCTACCTCGAAGTCCTTTGTTTATTATTTAGACTAAGGAGAGAGTTTGCTGAAGAAGATACTCTTGATGCTCGGTCTGAATTCCTCGTTGTGCTGCCCACGAATTTAGCTCCAAACCTATTGTTGTAGCGATGACTTCATGGTTTAAGTGTTTGAGATTAGTGATTTATGTTTCACAGTTTTGGTGTCAATGTTTGGTTTTGTTTTGTTTTGTTTTTTGCTTTCAGTTCTGGTTTTGCATGCAGAATAAACAAATTTTAGGTGAATAAAAATTACTTGAAAGGTAAAATTTAGTAAAGTAATATGTTGTAGATAAACTGTAAAAACGTACTTGGGCATCTATTACTGTTGCGTTATTAGTGTTGCGAGCATAGTATGATTTACAGCAGATTTAAAAAACAGTTGCAAGAAAAATAAATAAGGCTAGAAAACCCAACATGAATGTCAGAAAAATGAGTCACAGAAATCATAAGCAAAAGAAACCGTTAGCCACATATGAAAAACCAAGACTGAGTGTAAGACATTGGTAGAAGTGGGGGCTCAGAGTTGGACTGTGTGCTTCTTGATCTTGAACAAGAGTTACCAACCCGACAATCTACAGAAGATAGTTCTTAACCTTAATCCAAGTGACCAGCCATGGACCTTTATAAATTTTCATAGAAAAATTCTTTGATTTTCATGCAAAAGCTGTTGTTTAAGTCCTGTTTATGTAGGTTCTTTTTAACATGCAAAAGAGATTTTTTTTAATTTTTGTAAATATTTTGTAAAGTTGTGTAGTCCACAGGCTACTTACTCTAATCGTGCTAGAACTACTGACAACGTAAGAGCGACGGGGGCAACGATCCCACTCAGAATCGGCAAATAGTAACATTGATCATTTCCTCTTCCTTATTGAAAATTCTTAAGGTAGGAGATACTATTCTAATAATCACATTTTGTATCCCTCTTTTAAGCACACATAAGCAATTTCATCATCACCCTCGCCACTTAGACCCTAGACTTATCCTTGTTCGATGATCCATATGTGGCATTAACAAATTTCCCCAACTGCCTGGAGGATTTGAGTTTAATATCCAAACTCGAATCTCGGTGCACTGGTTTTCACTGTAGGTTAATTCATTGCTGGAATTTTACTGTTGATTTAATTAAGGAAGTATGAACTACGCCTCGGTGCATCCTTATGTCAGTGTCTTAATCAGTTTGTGAATCAGTGCCCCCTTATGTCTAGTGTCTTAATTAGTTTGTGAATCAGGGTCAAGTGTCAAGTTTCATTATTTATTTGAAAAGTAGGTGGATGAACACTCACCTAAGGTGTGCTCCTAAAATCTATGAAGCCTGCACTGAATAATATGTGGGTGAACTTTCACCTAGAGTGTGCTCCTAAAATCTGGGAAGCATATACTGAAAAACAGGTAGATGGGCTCTCACCTAAGGTGTGCTTCTAAAATCTAGGAGGCCTATGCTGAGAAAAAAAAAAGTAGATGGATTCTCACTTAGGGCGTGCTCCTAAAATCTAGGAAGCCTACACAGAGAATTAGGTAGATAGACTCTCACTTAGGGCGTGCTCCTAAATCTAGGAAGCCTACACTTTAACTTGTGCCTAAAGTGATTTAAAGTGATCTACCCTCAATTAAATATTTTCCAACTAATCCTCAAATATTTCTAGGCGTCTTCCAAGTAATTAAATCAGAAATTTTCATTTTTGACTTAACCATATAACAAAAGTAACAAAACAAATGAAAAAGAGAAGGTTGACCCACTTCTAAAACTAACAGATCCAATGGGAAATAACAAGTGAATCAACCTAAAAAAAACGTGTAAAATCTTTCAACAAATGTAATTAAAGAGACTCTCCAGAAGAGTGCTCAAATTTGTCCCAAGACAATGTTTTGATCGGCCCAAAAGTCCTTCAATTCAGTAGGAAAAAGAGAGGTCCAAAAGTCATCAAATAGACTCAGAAAAGTGCGGGACCAAAAGCCATGAGATGGAATCAAGAAACACAACCCCTAAGCCGCTAGACGGACCCAATAAGTGCAGTCCATAAGCCTTTAAACAACGCTTATACGAGCTTGAATCGCCCCAAACTGCAGCTTTGACGCTTTCTACAACATCAACCAGCAATCAGTGACTCCAAACAACAACCTAGACTCTTCCTACGGCCTATTACAGCGATTGATAACTCCAAACAGCAACCTAGGCTCTTCCTGCCGCCTCCTACAGCGATTCAGACTCCAAACAACAACTTAGACCCTTCCTACAACCTCCTACTGCGATCAACGACTCCAAACAACACTTATACAACCCTTTCTTAGTCCAAAAAAGCCCTAAATAGCATTTTACAGCACTTTTAAGTTTTCCAAACAGTAATTTGCAGCGCTTGTAAGCTACCTACAACAGTTTTAAACACTAAACAACAGTTTTTTTTATCACCGAATTGCACTTGTTCATCACCAAACAACACTTTAAAGCTTTGGACAGCACTTCTACAATGATTTTCAAATATTTCCAGCACTCCCAGTAATTTTCGAGTACTTTCAAATCAAAACTCCTTGAAACGGTCCAAAAAAAAAAACAAAATGTCCCCAAATCCCTCTCCAAAACAGCGAATAAAGCTGTCCCAAAGAAGTGAATGAATTTTAAGCATTAAAAGATGTCCTTCCTGTTAAAAAAACATAGGTACTTATTTTGTAAAATTAAGGATTTGGGTGGTGTAGATGTAAGGTTTAAATTTTGGGCATGCAGAAAATATAAGCATTGTGTGGTATGCATGTCAGAATTGACGTCAATGTGTTAGATATGTGAATACATGGCAATTGAGTGGTACGTTTGTAATAAAAAAAAAGGTAAACTTTAGGCGTTAGGCATGTAAATACATATAAATTGGGTGGTCATAATGATTGGTGTTAACCACAAGCAAGGTTCACTTTCACAACATGAAAATCTTAATCCCTTGACACATTTACGTGCACCTCACGCAAGTGCTATGCATTTACATCCCTGACACCCAAAATTTAGTATCAATTTCATAAACATATGCATGAAGGGTTGTACTCAACATAAAATAATTTCAAATAGAGTCACTGTAAATAATGAAATCAGATTGATCTCAAGGTTTAATTCATGAAAATTTTGTTAATTTACTTAAACAATTAGCAGCATAAATACATGGAAAATTTGCGTGCATGTCACTCAATCCTTATATTCTACATATCTAACATCCAAATTTCCATCCCAATCAAAAAGAGTAGAAAACCTCACAATTTCATTCCATAAATACACCACCCAATTTTAATCAGATTAAAAAAAAAAAAAACTTATAGAAAGAACAAAAAATATGGCAGTTAGTTTTGTGTACTAGACAGAGGAAATTCTTTACCTTAAGGAAAGGAGCTGCAGCAGTTTCGACTAGG